AAAGAAAGAAAGAAAGAAAGAAAGAAAGAAAGAAAGAAAGAAAGAAAAGAAAGAAAGGAAGAAAGAAAGAAAAGAAAGGAAATTTTAAGACATGCCTGTGTTTGCAAGCCAAGGCAGAGCCAGATGGTAGGTTCTGCTTATTTACAATTAAATTCCTGCATTTTTCAGAGGGTCAGTAGTAAAGATAAGAAATGATTCTCCCTCCTGGTGATTCTTTTGCAAATATAAAAATGGCAAATTGGCCTTTCTGACATTTCAGCTCAAATGTTCCAGATATAATCTTAAAGATGTACACAGTTTTGTAAGGAGACACTTACATGGTTTTGAATTGGAGGCAGGAAGAAACTCAGTGGGTCATTCCCCTTAACCAACCAGTCCACTAAATTCACAAGGGGCTGGGCACAGGCTAAAATGTGACATAGGAAAGCACTGTCTTCAATGACCATGTCCTTGTCACATAAACACCACCCCTCATTCTCATCTTGCCAAATACACACCTTCCCTCTAATAATGTCCCTTCATCTCCTATACCAAAAACTACTTGCAGAAGGGACTGAAACACATTTGTATGAATGTATAAATGATGACTCTTTAAAATATTACTTTCCTAAGATTTGCTTTTCACAGGTTAACAAAGGAATGAAGCTCTAATGGTGGAATCTCACATATCCATCAGAATTTGGGGGCATAGTCAGGCCCTGACTCTGCTTATAAATGCCCATGACCTCCTCTGCAGTGGCCTCGCATGTAGCAGGCATTTTCAGACTTACAGATGATGGTCTATGTCAGGATCCTGCTGCAGCCAGGTTTGGAATCCTATATACAAGTCATCCCAGCGAAGACCATTCTTCACCATGTGTCTGATGACGTCAACCCGGCTCCAGATCTGAAACAGATACGGGACAGCTAGCAGGGGTGACCCAGCCAGCACAGAGTATCGACCCCTCATGTCCCTGGGAGAAGCAGCTGCCTGTGATGGCAGGGGCTTGGACAGTCCTGGAGAAAAGTCAAATGGAGTAGATATCACAGGCTCAGGGAGGGAAGGGACCATGAGGGCTTCAGAAACCCAGGGAAGGAGAACAGGAACGGGCTCAGGAGCAGGGGAGCAGGCATAGCGACTGAGAGCACAGAGTGCCATCGCTGGGTTCAAATCCAGCCTCTGGCTGGGGGAAATTGGCAACCATTCTGCACCCTGGTTTTCTTACCTATAACATGAAGATAATGGAAACTTCCTCAGAGGTTGTCATGTGGATTAACAGTCAAGACTTACAAGGAGGCCTGGCACACAGTAAGCTCTCTGTGAATATGTGCACTGCAGGGTTACTCTGTAGGCGAAGCGTTTATTCTCCTTCCAGAACATTCAGTGGCAAAGCAAAGACTGCAAGTTTACAGCGATCTGTGTGTTTCAGGCCTGCCACGGAGCAGGGGTCCCTTAATTAGGTGGCCAAGCCCTTACCTTTCAAGAATCCCCACTCCTGACACGGAAGCTTTTGAACGGTCAAAGGAGCACAGGATTAGAAGACGAGTGGAGTTGGTTTCGAGTGTTAGCCTTGCGCTTACCAATCAGGCGACCTTCACCTTGCTAAGCCTCTCTTACTGGGCTGTTGTGATATAAAAATCGTTTTATATCGTTTATAAAAAGGAGCTTGGGGCAGCATGCAGGGGCAGGACGCTAAGATCAGACGTGACTTTGACATTTCATTAGTACCTGTGTTCAAGTTTCCCAGGAGCTTTTCCAGGGTCGGGCATCAGCTTTCTTCCCCCCAAAAATAGCACACGAGTGCCAGCCGAGGCCAACTGTCATAAATGGCAGGCTCTTCAGTGACACAGAAGGATTCGAAGATGTGCACCTTGGATTTACTTCTCTGCCTGCACCGTCCCTGTAACACTATATGCATTGTGCTCTGAAACACAGCTCAGAGACCCTGTTCTTTTACCAGCAGATTTAGAAACTTGACGGCACAGTTTGGTCAGGAGGCGGCTGCCTCTCATAAGATGTGGGATCCAGGTCTAGTTCCTCACAGTGGAGGGGAGATGGCCTTTCTGACCTTCCGTTCCGGAGGATGGGAGTCTCCCCCAACAGGAGACTGGGGGACAGGACCGAGAAATATTTAGGGTAGAAAATGGGAAGGTCTAGATAACTGATTAGCTCTGGGGGTGAGGGGACGGGAAGGCTGGAGGGTTACTCCCCTGTGTCTAGTATGGCTCCTGGTCAGGGGACAACATTGCCAAGAATCCAGAAAAGGAGAAAGAGCAGTTCTAGAGAAGGAAAAAGATATGTTGAATTTCAAACAGGTTGAAAAGGAGGTACCAAGGACTTGGGAATCTGGGTGATGATATATCTAGCGGGCCATGGACGGTAAAGAATCGCAAGCATGACCATGTTGTCGGGCGGGACGTGCGGGTTTTGGAGTCATTAGCAGATTAGTGGCTCCAGCAGACAAGGTCACCCAGGAAGAGACTCGAGAGGAAGAGTGAGTTGAACAGAGAGCCCTAGAGGGACACAAGCTTTTAGTGATGCCTGGAGAAAGAGAGACCCCAAAATAATGCAGAAGGATAGTCAGGAAGTGAAAAAAACAAGGGGCAGTGTCATAGCAATGGAGAAAGGACTCCAGGTCGAAAGAACGGACGGGGGGCTCAGTCGGTTAGGCATCCAGCTCTGGATCTCGGCTCAGGTCAGGATCTCAGGATTGTGGGATCGAGCCCTGTGTCGGGCCCTGTGCTCAGCACAGAGCCTGCTTGAGAACTCTCTCTCCCTCTCCCCTTGTCCATCTCCCCACCCCGCACCACATTCTTTCTCTCTCTCTCCCAAATAAATAAGTAAATCTTAAAAAAAAAAAAAAAAAGATGGACAGATCACATGCATAAACGTGTCTTCTGCATACTTCCAGGCCCAACCAAAATGTTCACAGGTATAAGCTGCCAGAGACCAGGAAGCAAAGCGAGTCATTGACAAGCAGGAGATTTCAGCTAACTTGAATCTGGAAAGCAGGCTGAGGAGTGGCAACCAAAGACAGAGTCACAGGATCCCGGAGCGTGAGAGGAGGGGTGTCCGGATGTGCAGGGAGTAGAGGTGGGTTCCCAAGGATGACTGTGAGGACACACAGCACAACGTACATCAAACAGCTGACCCCTTCCTATGCCTGTGCTCTGCTCTCACCAGGGACCTTCAGGTAGTTCTCTGAGCAAATGGAATCGATTTCGGGGGGAGAACGAGGGCAAGTAGGATCTGTGTGGTGTCTCGAAGCAAGGAGAGCCGTACCTCGGTACCTGGGAGACCCCCAGCCTCACAGCCAGCTCCTCACTTCCATACCTCAAACTGGTGACCTCCTGACCAAAGACAGCCGAACCTTGTTTCACAGTCCCTTTTTAAAAACTGAATTAGCTTTCTGCTAAGTTGTCAAGCTGCGTATTTCATGTAAAGATCCAGATTTCCAAGTTCTCTGGAAAATTCAGACCAGCTGGAGCTCCTCAGGGGCGGCCCCCTGCCAACCCAGTACGTCCTTTCCACATCCACACCCAGGTCTCCTGAGTATAGGACCTGCCTTGGGTCAGCTGTGAGCGCTGAAGCAGGTAGTCCCTGCCTCTAAGGAGAGCCTGCTGGGTGACAAGTGCAGTACATATACTGAGAGCCCTAAGTCAAGGACCTAGACTCAGTCCTAAGCTTGAAAAGTTTTTTTATTGGTAAATAGAGATGAATCCCTTACTTCTTGAAAGTCGCTTACAAATGAAGAAAGATCAGCCTGCGGTAAGCAACATTGCATATGAGAAGCCAAAGGAGCAATGCCTTCGGGTGTCCAGGGGGAATGACTTGCCCGCCAGCATCCTGTGCTCAGCTAACCTGTCCTGCAGCGGGAGGCAGAAAAGTATTTAAAGCTTAGCTCCCATGCACCCTTTCTTTGGCAGTTACAAGCAGAGAGTCCAAAGCCAAGGCGGCTTAGACCTGGCTGGGGTCTGGAAGCAGATACGGGTGGTGCAGGGTGACAGATCTGCAGCAGACCTCAAGGAGCCCATCCAGACTGGAGCAGAAGGAGGAGGTCGACTACCGGAGCCATGCATCTAGGAGAGAGGGAGAGTTGGTGAAACGGAAAATATACTTACGAGTTTGAAAAACTCATGGTTAAGAAAAGGTAACATGAGAGGGCTCTGGGTTGCAAGCAGAGGAGCTCTTCCAAGGACAGGCATAAGCAAACTTCAGCACAAGAAATCTCACTAAAATCCTGACATATAGGGGTGCCCTGGTGGCTCAGTCGGTTAAGTGTCTGCCTTCAGCTCAGGTCATGATCCCAGGGTCCTGGGATCGAACCCCACATCGGGCTCCCTGCTCAGCAGGGAGTCTGCTTGTCCCTCTCCTGTTCCCCCTGCTTGTGCTCTTGTGCACGCTCTCACTTTCTCTCAAATAAATAAAATCGTAAAAATAAAAAATCCTGACAGATAAAAGCACCAAAAGCCACATTACACGGGGCCAAGTATGGAGCAGGCGTGATGATTCAGCCCACAGTACATTTAAGTCTGCAACAGAGCTGCTGTTTGCATCACCCAACAGATGCATTGTGAAAAGCTGTGAAAAGGTGACTTTCAGTTAAATATTTTACATGAACCTGTGAATCAAAAATGTCCAAAGATGAATCTCCTTTAAGGCTAGAAGATACCCTAATGTATAGACTTGGTGAATTCAGATTTGAGAAGCAACACAGTGGCTAATACGTAGACTCTGGAGCTAGACCCCTGAGGTCAGTCCTCCGCACCATCGCTTTTGAGCTGGACAGCCTCGGGCAAGCTCCTGGACATCATGGCGATGTCCTCATCCACAGGTGGGTACTATAGTGATATCTCGTCCATAAGGTTGTTGTCGAATAAATGACTTATAATTTTATAAAGTGCTTCGAGCTATGTAAGCGTTTGTTAAATAAAGCAATATATTTAATAGATCCATCTTGCTTAAAATGGGTACTTTGCATAGGGTTTTCCTATATGTGAAAACCCAGTTTTTTAAAACCCAGAAAGCAGGCAGTAGGTTATTGGTTTTCTGAAGTTTTGGCCTAGGATTCTCTTCAATGGCAAGTACTTTGCTAAATACCAAAATACAAGTCAAATGATTAAAATGTAGCTTAAGAACATATCTGATCTAGGGGCGCCTGAGTGGCTCAGTTGTTAAGCATCTGCCTTCGGCTCAGGTCATGATCCCGGGGTCCTGGGATCAAGCCCTGCATTGGGCTTCCTGCTCAGCAGGAAACCTGCTTTTCCTTCTCCCACTCCCCCTGCTTGTCGTTCTTGCTCTCGCTATCTTTCTCTCTATCAAAGAAATAAAATCTTAAAAAAAAAAAAGAAATGAAGAATGCCTTTGATGAGCTCATTAGTAGCCTGGACATGGCTAAGGAAAGAATTTCTGAGCTTGACGCTATGACAAAAAAAACTTCTAAAACTGAAAAGCAAAGAAAAAAGACTGGAAAAGAAATGGAATGGAATGTCCAAGACCTGTGGGAGAACTACAAAAGGTATAAATAACATACATATAATCAGAATACTAGGAAGAGAATAAAGAGAGAAAGGAACGGAAAAAAAATATTTGAAATAAAAATGACTGCGAATTTCTCCCAAATTAATGTCAGACATCAAACCATAGGTCCAGGAAGTTCACAGAACACCAAACAGGATAAATGCAAAATAAAATAAAATAAAATACATAAATAAATTCACACCTAGGCATATCATATTCAAACTGCAGAATATCAACAATAAAGAAAAAATCTTGAAAGAAGGAGGAAAAAAATCTTACCTATAGAGGAGCTAAGATAAAAATTACACACTAATTCTTGGAAACTGTGCTAACAAGAAAAGAGTGGAGTGAAACGTTTAAAGTGTTGAAAGAAAAAGGCCCACCAA